TGATGGGCTGACGTTTAACCTGTGAGTTATGATATTAGGATCAATACATGTCATGTCGTCGTGACTCCATGCAAACACGTCTTTATGTTCTTTGAGTAAGTTTATCAGTTCGTCTTTGAGGTGCTCTGGCATGTCTTTCCCGATGCGGATGACCCTTTCTGGATGTTCCGGGTCGATGGCGACTTCTTTTGTTTTGGCGTCATCTTCCACCAGAGCGGGGCCACCCTTTAATTGCTATGCGATCTTGGAGGTAGTTTGGTCCGCAGTTGGCCTCATCGCCGTTTGGTAGCAAGATTTGGCTGACTGTTGATCCAAGGGCTGAGCAAAACCGACCCTACCCGAATAACCCGATCGGGTGAACCCGATTTTTTGTGAATGGGTCGGTTGACCCGACCCGAACCCAGCGACCCGAACCGCCCACCCTATACTTTTTGGGCCGACATGCCAGGAATAAGCCGAAGGGTCATCACCCACCGCCTCTCGGTGGACCCCTCGGCAAAAGCAGTACAGCAACAAAGAAGACCCCTCTCCGGCGAAAGGAGGGAATTTGTGAAGAAGGAGGTCGCCATGCTCCTCTCTATTAAGCACATCAAGGAGGTGAAATACCCCTCATGGCTGGCGAACGTAGTCCTCGCACAGAAGCCTCCTACCTTCCGCATGTGCGTGGACTACACGGACCTCAACAAGGCGTGCCCTATGGACCCTTTTCCCTTGCCCAATATCGATCAACTTGTAGATGAAACCGCGGGGTGTGAAATCATGTCATTCCTCGACGCATTCCGCGAGTATCATCAGATCTTCATGCATGAGGAAGACGCCGAAAAGACAACCTTCATGACTCCCGAGGGCATTTTCTGCTACCTAGTAATGGCCTTCGGCCTAAAGAACTCAGGGGCCACTTACACCCGGATGGTGGCCCGAGTCTTTCAAGCCGTCGTAGGGCGCACCATGGAGGCCTATGTTGACGACATGATCGTCAAGAGCAAGCAATCTTCCAGTCATGCTGACGACCTCCGGGAAATCTTCGCCATCATGCAGAAGTTCAACCTTCGGCTAAACCCGAAGAAGTTCACCTTCGGCGTCCAAGGGGGCAAATTCTTAGGCTACATGGTGAGCCGAAGGGGTATTGAGGCCAACCCCGAGAAGATCCAGGCCATCATCAACATGGAGCCCCCACGCAATGTGAAGGAAGTTCAACGGTTGACGGGCCGCCTGGCAGCCCTCAACCGCTTTCTATATAAATCAGCGGAGAAGTCTCTACCCTTCTTCCAGATCATGAGGAAGACGGTTGACTTTCTATGGACTCCAGAATGCCAGGGGGCTTTCGACGAGCTGAAACGGTATCTATCTTCACCCCCTGTGCTCTCAAAACCAAAGGTAGGGGAGACCCTCTATCTCTACCTTGGTGTCAGCCCGGCGGCCATCAGCTCCGTGCTCATCCGAGAGGAAGACGGCATCCAACATGCCATCTTCTATGTAAGCAAGACCCTAAGAGAGGTCGAGCTCAGGTACTCCCCCGTGGAAAAAACGGTGTTGGCCATCGTTTGGACCGTCAAGAAGTTGGGCCACTACTTTCAGGCTCACCCGGTTCAGGTCCTCACTCATCAACCCCTCGGCGCCCTCATGAGGAGCCCCACCAGCTCCTCCCGCATGGTGAAATGGGTTATCTTCTTGAGCCAGTACAACATTGACATCCGTCCGAGGCCTGCCATCAAGGGCCAAGCTCTGGCGGACTTTGTGACGGAGTGTACCGCAAGGGCAGCCACGAACGGGGAGCCCTCGGCTACCTCGGACGACTGGTGGACCCTCTACACCGACGGCTCCTCCGCGACCAAAGCATGCGGGGGAGGGGTAGTCCTCATTACTCCCGAGGGCTTCAAAGCCTACTATGCGATCCGCTTCTCCTTCAAAGTCTCCAACAACGAGGCCGAGTATGAGGCCCTCCTATGTGGCCTTCGGCTGGCTGCCAACATGAAGGCTCGGCAGGTCCACATCAAATGCGACTCCAAGTTGGTCCTTGGCCAAATCTCCGAGGAGTATGAGGCCAAGGAGGGAAGAATGAAACAGTACAAGGAAGCGGCCAAGGTATTTGAGGCACATTCTCTCACTCAAATACCGAGGGCTCAGAACTCCAAGGCCGACATACTATCTAAGCTCTCGGCCGACTCCCCCTAGCACATCTCTAAGATTGCTAAAATTGAGGAACTCAGTCTCTCAAGCATCCATGCGAGCCCCGTCATGAACATACAACAACGCCAAGAGGACTGGATCCCGGATATCATCACCTTCATCTCCACAGGGCAGCTACCCGAGAACGAGACCCGCGCTAAACTAGCAAAACTGAGGGCTCCTAGCTATACCATCGAAGACGAAAGGCTCTACAAACGGTCTTACAACGGCACGCTACTTCGGTGCCTTCATCAGGATGAAGCTGAGGTCGCAATGGAGGAGGTGCACAGTGGCACTTGCTCAGCTCACCAGGGACCCTTCTCCATGTCCCGAAGGCTCATTCTCCAGGGCTACTTCTGGCCAACCATGGCCAGAGATTGTGCTGACCTTGCCCGAAGGTGCACCGCATGTCAACATTTCCAGAAAGCCCCCGACAGGCCAGCGGTCAACTATGCCCCCATCAGCACATCTGTCCCCTTTTCTCGATGGGGAATAGGCCTTGTGGGCCCTCTGCCGAGGGGTACCTCCAACAACAGATACATCATTGTGGCCATCAACTACTTTACCAAGTGGGTAGAGGCTGAGCCCCTCGCCAGCATCACAGAGGCGAAGTGCCGTCACTTCGTCCTCAAGAACATCCTCACAAGGTTTGGCGTCCCCCAGCAGATCATTTCCGACAATGGGACACAATTTGAGGCAGCCCCCTTCTGTGCCCTTCTGGAGGCATGGGGCATCAAACACACCTTCTCCTCCGTTGCCTACCCTCAAGGCAACGGGCAAGTAGAGAATGCCAACCGGACCTTGCTCGAGGGCCTCAAAAAGAAGCTGGAGGCCGAGGGCGGTGGCTGGGTGGAAGAACTCCACAACATCCTTTGGGCCTACCGCACCACCCCTCGGCGAGCAACAGGTGAAACACCCTTCTTCCTCTGCTACGGTTTTGAAGCCAAAGCTCCTACGGAAGTCACCCTTCCCACCCGGAGGGTGATCCAATATGACCCCGAGGTCAACGACAACAACATGGCCCTCGACCTCCACCTCCTTTCAGAACGCCGGGAGCAAGCCTTCATCCGGGCAGAAAACTACCGAAGGCAAGTCAAAGGCTACATCGACGCCAAGGTTCGCACCCGAGAATTCCAAGTGGGGGACTATGTCCTCCGGAGGAGGGAAGCAAGCCAACCGACCGAGGGAGGCAAAATGGCACCAAAATTCGAAGGTCCCTACATCATAGCAGCCATCATCAAACCTGGAACTTACAAACTCAAACGCCCCAACAGGAAAGAGGTCTCTAGGCATTGGAATGTACACCACTTAGTTAAATTTTATCAATAATGTAAGAGCGGCCAAGCCCTCATAACTAATGAATGTACTATCCTATGGCCCAAGGCCTCCAATTTTGAAGAATGAAGACACCTTCCAGACACCAAGAACAACCGCAAAAAACTTATGAGCGGCCAAGCCCTCATACCAACTACAGGCCCCAGGCCTCACCATGAGAAGATCCCCCTCCGGCACCATGTGCCGAGGGCGGACACCATCAACACCTTCAACAACAGTGAAAACACCAAGTGCTTCAAACAAGACCCCTCGGTACTAAGTACCGAAGGTGGAAACTCCCATCACCGGTCACAGGAAACACCAAGTGTTTCATTTCAGGACCCTTCGGAACCCAGTGCCGGGGGTACACGTCTCCACCATCAACATCAAAAAGAAGAACACCAAGTGTTCCTACAGAAGACCCCTCGGTACCAAGTACCGGGGGTACACATTTCACCCGTCGACGTCAAAAGAACACTAAGTGTTCCTGCAGAAGACCCCTCGGTACCAAGTGCCGGGGGCTACATATCGAAACTAACACCAAATGTTGTTTCTAAAAGCCGTACCCCACGAGGACGCATATACCGAAGGCGCCACCATCGGTGCCGGCGGCACGTAGTGCCCCGGCCATTTGCAACTAGTGTGCAAATGAAAACCCTTCCTTGAAACGCTTTCCGCGTCACTACCCCCAGGGTATGACAGGCATGAGAAATGCCCAGGATTCGACTTTCAAAAATGGAACGCTTTCCGCGTCATCACCCCAAGGGTATGACAGGCACGAGAAATGCCCAGGATTCGACTTCGAAACCGAAACGCTCCCCGCGCCACCACCCCAAGGGTGTGGCAGGCCACGGACTATGTCTAGCGCCGAGGGGACGACTTTCAAAAATGAGGCGCTTTCCGCGCCATCCCCCAAGGGGAGGCAGGTTACAGACCATCATATCTTGTACCCAGGAAACGACCCTCGATCCCCTCGGAACTCGGAAGGTTAACCCGAGGGAGGAGAGCCATTGGTGTATTCTGATGGTCTCCTAATAGGCCCAGCCTTACCAAGAAACCAAGTTTCTTGATGCCTTCCCTTCACCACCAACCAAAAAAAACAAAAAAAAAAGACAAAAAAAAAGAGGGGGTGAAGGGGAGTAGACTCAGCAAGAAATCAAAGAGTACACTCCAACAGATCACAACATGCCGAGGGCTCCCCACGGGAACACCTCCGGTAATTGAAGGCTCCTATTTCCCGAAGGATACTACTCAAACAAATATCGTCAAGAAAGGGCTAAGTCCACTGCTTGGTCACCTCCGGTCACACAAACACCGAAGGCTTCAACAATACGAAGGGACTGGACTATCCAAAGTCTACTAAACGGTACTTCAAACAAATACCGAGGGCATCTGTTATGCACTAATACCGAGGGCCCTTACCCCATGAAAAGGGACACAACTGGCTATGTCAAACTCTACAACTTTTCAAGTAATTGCCGAGGGCACATACTCCTCATCAACTTTCTTTACAACAACATGAGTCCACACTTTTCCTAAGTCCACAGTTTCGGAAGATGACAACTACCGGAGGCTAATATATCACCCGACAACCGGAGGCATCTATTACAAATCATCAAAGGCCAAACCGAGGGGGCTTATTCCAAAACATTTGCCCCTCGGACAGACTCCTCACTGACCGAAGGTTCAACATCTACAACACACTTTGAGATTTTTCTAAGTCCCACATATTTGGCCATCGGTCAAATACTCATACAACACAAGGGTCTCACGAGCACCCGAAGGGTCCTATTCATACACCCGGAGGGATCTACATCCGGAAGCTCAACATCAATATACGCTTGGAAAATATTCTAAGTCCTAAATGAGTAGCCCCCGGGCATCTCGCAAAAGTGACGCAGAGTCAGAGGGCACCCATCACCCGAAGGCGACACAAGGAAGCAGCACTGAGAATAAAAATTCTAAGTCCTAAAGATTGGGCCCCCGGCCCAACCAATATTACAGCTAAGGGAATATGATAGCCGAAGGCTATGCGATACAACAAGCACTTAGAAAATTTTCCAAGTCCTACATATTTTTCCCTCGGTCCAACATTCACACATCAGGAAGGAGGCTGCCAGCCGAGGGCTTCCAAGGGCAAACTACACTCAGAAATCTTTCTAAGTCCTAAGGATTGGATTCTTAATCTAATCCTCACACAGCAATTGAACTACAAACGCCCGAAGGCCCTATGGTGTGCTACACTTAGAAAAAATTTCTAAAATCCTAATTATTGCTGAGCCCTCGGTTGTACATCCGGCAAAGGGTGCCCAACTACCGAAGGCTACAACCGTATTCAAACACTTAGAAAATATTCTAAGTCCTAGACATACATTCAAAAAGGGCGAAGGCATACACTCAAGAAAAAACGACGACATACATTCAAGGAGGAATGAATTAAAGCAAACAAGTCATGTATATATACAATGCCCGAAGGCTAACACTCATCCATCACTCATCACAAAAAGGAGTAAATGTAATTGTTACAAACAGGCCGAAGCCGAAGGATCAATGGTGTTCATTACAAGAGTTTGTTCAGAAATTTCTAAGTACAAATTACACATCAAACAACGTCATTCCCGGGGGCCGCCTCCCCCGATGGCTTCGAGGTGACCTCTGCATCGGCCTCAGGTTCGTCACCCGCGGCTTCCCTCCGGAGCTCAGTATCCTCCAGGTCTGGCCTCTCGACATCGGAGGGGAGGGGAACACGGATGTCTGGCTGCAGGGGGAGCCCGTATGCCGCCGAGTCAAAGTCCTTCGGCTCAATCTTCAAATGGCGGGCCATCCTCCGGTAGATGAGGGCTTGAGTGAAAAACTCGCCCCCATCATAATATTGTTTACCCTTTCGGGCCATCCATTCCTCGCCCGGGCCCTCGCACCACTCGTCGACTGAGGCCTCCACAACCGAGGACAGCCACGCCTTGTGCCCCTCGGTCTTCCACCCCCCATCCAGGAACCCAGAGATGGCCTCCTCCCGGGCTGCGGTGACAGCCTTCGCTCTGACGGCCTCGGCCTCCTCCGCGGATTTCTTTGCGGCCTCCGCAGCAGCCTCCTCAGCTTTGGCCTTCTCCTCCTTGAGCCTTCCGGCCTCCGCTCTCGCAAGCTGGAGGTCCTCTTCAAGTTGGGCCATCAACTTCGTGGCCTGGGAGTCCCTGAGGATTAGCTCCTTCATCTTGGCGTCCTGCCCAGCTTTGTGGAGGCGCCATTCCTCCAGCCGTCGGAACTGCTCTCTGAGGGCAACGCAAGTCTGCAAAAATAAAGGAGTTAGCAGGGCCGAACGTGATTTCCTAGTTCGAAGTAAAGAAGAGAAAGACAAACTATCATAAACTTACCGTGAGGGAAGACCGGAGGATCCTGTCTTCGAGGGCTTGGTCATCATCGGCCCCGAGGGCTGCCCTGTCAATATCGAGGGTTATACCTCTCAGGAGCGCCCTCGGGTCAGCCGTGCCAGTCGGGAGGGAGAGCGTAAGGACCTCAAGAGATGGCTCTCGGACACCCCTTGGCACCTGCGCCATCGGCATCTCCTCATTCACCCCGGAGGCGGGACAGTCATCTACAATCACCACCGGGGGGTCATCCTTCGCGGCGTCCCCCTTCTTCGATTTCTTGGGGGCCTGGGGGGGCTCCTTTGTCGTCAGCTTCCTCTTCGCCGCAGCAGCATCGCCCTCGGGCTTCTTGAAAGGCGCACCGACGGGTTTTTGGCCGCCGGCGTCCGACCCCTTCGGATCCTTGGCCGGCTTGTTCTTGAATCGAGCGAGGCCTTTGACGTTCATCATGTTCACTGGGATACCTGCAAAACAATGAGGGGTTAGAATCGAGGGGTCACTAATAAGTGGCATAAAGAATAAACGAAGCGAATAAACAACGTGCTAAGATATGAAGGTGAGAATGCCCTCAGCCACTACCTCCGGAGGCTCCCTCAAACACTGGGAACTTCTCATCTGTTTCCCCCAGGAACCGGTACCGCCGGAACCCGAGGGTGTAGAGATCTCCTTCCTTGGTGCACTCCTTGATGGTGATATTCTTGTCCCGGCCCTCCGGGATCATGGCCAGAATCCTGCCATCTTTCTCGAGGGCGGCGCTCCTCCTCTTCTCGTGCCTCCTGAAGCGGTCACGTAGCTCCCTCGGGAAGGGGCTCTCGGTCAGCTTCACATAGCACCACCGGTCCTTCCACCCCTTGTTCGAGGAGGGCACCTCAGTGAAGAGTTTGAACATGGACACCTGCTGCAAATTGGCGAATCCCTCGGCATTCGCGTGCCCCCCCCCCTCCCCCCGGCACAAATTGAAGCTCTGGAAGAAGAGGTCCAGACTAGGCGTCACCCCCCGGGACTTGCAGAGCTGAAGGAAGCCAGTAGTATAAGAATGGCTGTTCGGGGTCAGCTGGCAGGGAACCAGACCCACGAACCGAAGGTACTCCCGGAGGAAGGGGTGCAGGGGGAAGCGGAGCCCCATGGATACCGAGAGAACGTGCACCGCAATACAGCCCTCGGGAGCCCGGGAGAGGACGTCATCTGGACCCGGTGTCACCACGATGGCCGAGGGGCCCACATGAAGCTGGGTGACATAGATGTCTGCCGCATCAACCTTCGACTTGATCTCCAAGGCAGCGGTGTTGAGGTGGGAGTACCCCTCGGGCATATCGAGGGGCTTCCCTTGATCTGCGACGCTGCCCTTTTTCTTGGGAACAACTACCTTAGCCTTCTTCTTCCCGGGGGCCACCCGGATTGGAACTGCGTTCAGCGGCCGAGAGGTACTGGCCTCACCAGCACCCCGAGGGGGAAGGACGGCCACGGTCACCATCGTCCTCTCCTTTGCTTCCTCCTCCTCTGCAACCTGCATGGCGAGGGCTAACTCTTCGTCTTCCACCTCCTGCTCGAAGCCCTCGGCTTCAACTTTAGCTAGCAGCTCCTTCTGCACTTCCACTGCCATCGCAACGTCCTCCTGGGCCGAAGGCTGTGCACCTGAGGACTCCACATCCGAGAGGACTTCATCCTCCATCGAGGGCGCCCCCGAGATGTCTTGAGAATCACTCTGGGACGACATTATGGCTCTAGCTCGAGGGCTCGGAAGAACTATGGTTTTTCTAAATATTCTATCTCCTAGCCTAAGGGCAAAATACAGCTAGCTAAGAGGTGAGATGCGAATGGAGAACTGACCTTGAGAACTGAGGATTCAACCGAGGGCGAGTTTCTCTCTCTAGAATATTTTTGCCAGAGCTTCGCTACACTGAGATCGCACAGCGGAGAGTGGCCTTGCCTTGGGGTATTTATAGGCGCTGGGATCCGGGCATGGGCCTGGAAACCGGGCCTCCGGTTGGATCGCCATCATTACAGACCGCGATATCGCCCAATCGGTGACGCCGCCCATGGACAGCCTACCATCACGCGCCACGTGTACCCCCCCCCCCCCCAACGGCTATATCCTGACGTTACATATTCCAACGGCTATATTTCCAACGGCTATATTCTGGGAGCCCCCGGATTTTCTTACTTCACTCCACTTCATCAAGGAGAGCCTCCGGGTACACTTACCCAGAGACGCCCCTGGTTTGTGCCCCACACAATGCATAACAGACGCCTTCGGCATCACTCCTTCAGAAGCCCAAGGCCTCATACCAGGCCACCCCTCGGGGATTCCCCCTCAGCACTGTAAGGGCCGAATAGCCCCCGGGGAGTATTCCTCATTGACGGATAGCCTACAGCACGCAGGCAATGGGAGCCCCCGGATACCCCCATGACCAACTAATCAACAAGCAGGGGACCCCCCGGTGACAACTCAACTACTGCCCTCATTCATCACGCCCTCGATCCCCAGATCGAGGGGCCCCCGGTACCTCCCAGGACATCAACAGCGTGCCTTCGGCAATGCAACAGACATGCCCTCAGAAAAAGGAGAGCCTTCGGCATTACCGTTATTCTCCATTTTTGACCAAGGTTTCACATTTTCGATTCATCGTTGGGGGAATTCGGTGCACTCTTTTTCCCTCATTAGAATTTTTTCCCCCAGGGTTTTTCCTAATGAGGTTTTTAACGAGGCATCCCCCCAAAATGAAACGAAAAGCGTCAGCCTTCGGCCCGCAACAGCAACGCAACTACTCTACTCCTTTTCACCACTTTACAAGTGCCTCAAGGAGTGGGGGACTGGAGGACCCCCTCGGGAAAATCACTAAAAATACAAAATGGTGAAAATTTCCAACAAACGGCAAAGCAAGCCCTCAAGTCCCGACATGTGGGTAACTGAGGGACTGCCTTCGGCAGGGACATGAAAGCAACAGCTCCTCACCAACTTCAGAGATTACAATGGGACAACATCAAGGGGCAAACACAAATTACTCCTTTTTCCCTCAAGTACCTTTCGGCAAAAGGAGTGAGGGACTCCTGATGGAGTATATGGCCCGGGAAACCCCGGCCCACAGACTCCTACTACTCCAGTACAGGCCCAGAAGGCCCAATAGGCCCAAATCACAGCGCCCAGAGTACCAAGCAGCCCGCAATACGCACCAGGGGTGCCTTCGGTCCCCTGGCCGAAGGCTAAAACTCTCACGGAATGGGTTTCTCGAGCAAACTAAGAAACTGGGGGAAAAACGGCAGAAAACAGTAGCCCTCGGCACCTGGAGCCCTCGGCACTCAGGGGTCCTCGGCACTAAGAGCCCTCGGATAGTCCTCTGCAGCCGAGGGCACCTCTCCCGACATGATATCCGCATCACATGCGTACAGATCACCGTACCCTGTACAGATGTCCCATCCAACAGCCGCATTAAATGCGGCCACATGCGGCTGCCAGCGCCAACCAGTTGAGGTGACCTCTCGGCCAATGGGCGCTTGACGCGTGTCCCTGTCCGGCATTTATTGCTACTATAAATAGCACCCCATTTCCCCATTTGTAACAACGCTGAAAACACTCCACACTTTGCAATATACTTTCTCTCTCTATATTTACTTGCTCTGACTTCTCTCTTATTACTCCTCGTAATAACCCCTCGGATAAGCTACCCCCCGGGTACACTATCCATCACATGTGTTGCCTACTGAGTACTGACTACGGTTATCCAGTTGTCCCTGTTAATCTGTTATGTTGTTTGTTGTACATAAGTAACATAACTGCCTTATTATTTTGATGAAGAAGCCTTTTTCAACTCTAGTACTCAAACGAGTACAAAGAGTGAACTGGGTTCTTCGGAGTCTGTAGAGAAGTGAAAAAGCAAAGTGCTTTTATCCTTCTGTAAATCAGCTTGCTGATTGTTCCAGATTTACATATTATGGTTATTATTTGTGAGATATGAACTCTGTGGAAGCTCTTACTTACTGCATATGTACAACTCTTATTCATGTGTTGCGTACTTGCCTTATCTGTGAGGTATGAACTCTGTGGAAGCTTAGTATACACATATCAATATATCATGTGTTGCTTACTTGCTTACATTAGATGGACCCTGAAGAATGTGTGACCTTTTCTACATCTGGATCTCAACCTCCTCCTAAATATGAATGAAGTGTGGAAGCTAATCAAGCTATATATTCTATATTCATGTGTTGCCTACTGAGTACTGACTACGGTTATCCAGTTGTCCCTGTTATGTTGTTTATTGTACATAAGTAACATAACTGCCTTATTATTTTGATGAAGAAGCCTTTTTCAACTCTAGTACTCAAACGAGTACAAAGAGTGAACTGGGTTCTTCAGAGTCTGTAGAGAAGTGAAAAAGCAAAGTGCTTGTATCCTTCTGTAAATCAGCTTGCTGATTGTTCCAGACTTACATATTATGGTTATTATTTGTGAGATATGAACTCTGTGGAAGCTCTTACTGACTGCATATGTACAACTCTTATTCATGTGTTGCGTACTTGCCTTATCTGTGAGGTATGAACTCTGTGGAAGCTTAGTATACACATATCAATATATCATGTGTTGCTTACTTGCTTACATTAGATGGACCCTGAAGAATGTGTGACCTTTTCTACATCTGGATCTCAACCTCCTCTGAGTCAAGAAACAGTGGTGGAAAGTCAAATTCCTGAGCCTAACATTACCAATGAGCAGACTGCACCACCTGCTGTTTCTGGACAAAAGAGAAAAGTGGTTGACAAAAGATCTAAGATTTGGGATCACTTTGATGAAATTAATGATGAAAAGGGTGTGGTTATTAAGGGGAGGTGCATATACTGTGCAAAAATATATTGTTGTCACTCTAAGAAACATGGAACTTCCTCCATCAGAAATCACATGCTTAATTGCATGAAAAACCCCCATGCTAAAGACACTAGACAAGCCCTATTAACCTTCCAGCCTGTACCTCCACAGACAGGTGAACCATATGGAAAGACTGGGGTCATGGGAACTTGGGTATTTGATCAACAAGCTATTAGGAGAGCTCTAGGTGAAATGCTAATCATTGATGAGCTTCCTTTTAGATTTGTAGACAGACAAGGTTTTAGGAATTTTGTTGCTGCAGCCTGTCCTAGGTTTCAAATTCCTTCTAGATGGACAATTGCTAGAGACAATTTTCAAATATACCTTGATGAAAAAATGACTCTAAAAAGGAATTTTAGGGAACAAACTCAGAGAGTGAGTATAACTACTGATACATGGACCTCTATTCAGAGGATAAATTGCATGTGCATTACTGCTCATTTCATAGATCATCAGTGGAAGCTCCAGAAAAAAATAATTTCCTTTGTCCCTGTCACCTCTCACAAAGGGGAGTACCTTGCTAAAGCCCTAGAAAATTGCTTACTTGATTGGGGTCTGAAAAGTATTTTTACTGTGACTGTTGATAATGCTAGTAGTAATGATACAACTGTTGGTTTTTTCAAGAAAAAATTAGTAGCCTGGGGTGCTTCTTCTGTAAAAGTAAAGTATGTTCATATGCGTTGCATTGCACACATCTTGAACTTAGCTGTACAAGATGGTCTTAAAGATTCAGACACTTCAGTCATGAGAGTTAGGGAAACTGTTAAGTATGTTATGAACTCACCTGCTAGGCTTCAAAAGTTCAAAGATATATCTGATTTGATAGGAGTGGAAGCCAAGAGTGGTCTGCACCTGGATGTTCCAACTAGGTGGAATTCCACTTACCTGATGCTAAAATCTACAGTTTGTAATGAGAAAGTGTTTGAAGCCTATGAGGAGAATGAATCTGCATATAGTACTGATTTGGGTTCTGACATGCCTGATGTTTTAGATTGGATTGCTGTTGAATCTTTTGTGACCATTCTAAAACATTTTTATGAAATGACACTAAGAATTTCAGGCTCACTATATGTTACTTCCAATACCTTTTTTTCTGAAATTTCTGACTTGTTCCTTGTCCTCAAAGATATGGTTGCCTCTCCAACTGCTTCTGTCGGTGCCATGGGGAGTACTATGAAATCCAAACTAGACAAGTACTGGGGTGATCCTGAAAAGATGAACTATCTAATCTTCTATGCTAATGTCTTAGATCCTAGGGAAAAGTTTGAGTATATGCCATTTCAGCTAAATGCTTTATATGGTGATAAAAAAGGTGCTGCTTTTTTTCTAAAAGTGAAGTCAGGTCTAACTGAGTTATTTGTTGATTATGTTTCAAGTTACCCTGACTGTGTTGGTGGAAGTTCTAATACAACTTTTACTTCTGGAGCATCTATGGAGTGTGGTAATTCTGAAAATAGGCCTGTGTCCAGGTTTAAGGCTGGTCTTAAAAAGAAGAAGCTTGAGAGTGGTCAGGTAGGAGTTAAAAAATCTGAACTTGATATATATTTAGCTGAGTCCATAATTGAGGAAGATGGGGACTTTGATATTCTAAGATAGTGGAAGTTAAATAGTGAAAGGTTTCCTATACTTTCCAAGATGGCTAGGGATGTACTTGGTGTTCCCATTTCCACAGTTGCTTCTGAGTCCACTTTCAGTACAAGTGGTAGGGTTTTGGACTGTTTTAGAAGTTCATTAAGTTGTAAAATTGTGGAAGCCCTTATTTGTGCACAAGATTGGTTGAGATTGGCTCACCAGCCTATCTCAATTGAAGAAAACATCGATGACGTAGAGAGACTAGAAAAAGGTATAACTTTTATAGTTTTATGTGTTTTCATGTATTATTTGCTTATTATGAATCTTCTTGTTTATATTTCATAATTCTAACAATTTTCTTTGTTTGTTATAGAAATAATGGATGGAAATGTTGGTGGTGGAACTGCTGCTCCTACTGGATCCTCTATTGTGCCATTAAGTGTACATTTTCTATATTTTTATAGGGTTTAGGGTTGGCATTGCTCTTTCAGTTCATAATAAGCATTCTGACTTCTGAGCTATATGACATGTTTGGTTTTTGCCATTATTTGGTTGTTTGGCTATGATGAAGCTTCCACTCATTAGTGCATTTAGGGTTTAGGGTTGGTGTTGCTCTTTCAGTTCATAAAATGGTAAGTTGTAACTGAAATTGTAGCAGATGCCCCCTATTTCCCCTTATGAATGATAAAAAGCATTCTGAGCTCTATGAAATGTCTGGTTTGTTTCATTATGTGCTTGATTTTGAATGGTGAAGCTTCCACAGTTCCACTCACTACTGCATATAGGGTGTAGGGTTGGTATTGCACTTTCAGATGCCCCCTATTTCCCTTGTGAATGAAAATAAGCATTTTGAGCTCTATGAAATATCTGGTTTGTTTCATTCTGCCATTATGTGCTTGTTTTTCCAGTTATGATACTCCCATATGCCCATTACTTGATATATATTGGAAATGTTGGAAGCTGTTAAGTATATGTAAATATGTAATACACAGTATAGATGTTTAATACTTCAATGCAAATATATATATTGCATGAACTGTGTACTAATTTAGCTCACTATCACTGGTATATTGTTGTTGTACATGTGAATCCCTATACATATGTATAATGTATTATGTGCTCATTACATTTGAATGAGTATGATTCTGTCATTCTGGAAAGCATGCACATGCAGCCAACTGTCCCTGGACCCTTGTCCCTTTATCTGATTTTCAGGTTTTGCGTAAGTATCTCATTATCCCATTCATCCTTGATTCTATCATTTATATTACTTTTCATTGGCTATGATGAAGCTTCCACACATTACTGAATGTATGGTTTAGGGTTGGTATAGCTCTTTCAGTTCATAACATCTAAGTTTTGACTGAAATTGTAGCAGTTGCCCCTGTATTCCTTGTGAAGGATAACAAGTATTCTGAGCCACTGATTTTTCTAATTTGTTTCATTAACTTATCCTTGTTATTGTACTACATGTATATTGATTTCCATGTGTTCATTAACTTATCTTTGTTATTGTACATATGCAGGGGGAATCTTGAAGGTGTGGTAAATGGTTGTGGAACTGTGGAAGTGTGGAATTTGAAATGTTCAAGCTATGACCCTGAGTGGACTGCCTGAGTGGATGTATTGATTTTGCTTAGTTGTAACTTAGAACTTTACCACTTTGGATGTTAATTACTTGTAATTAAGTAATTAATGCCAAAACTCTATGTTACAATTTTGATCCCCTCCCTAAGCTACTCTGTTACTTGATGACTTGTAATTGAGTAATTTGGTAATTTGAATATCTGGTATCATATGCACATTTTGTATGGGAATCATTTTTTTTTTGCAATTTCATTGGATTACACTTATATTTACAGTTGTGAAAGTAAAACCGAATTGACCCGATACTCGAACCGAACCCGCCCTACCCGAAATGCAAAAAAACCCGAAAATATACAAGTTAAAAACCCTAGGGTAGGGCATCCATATTACACAACCGAAACCCGAAAGGGTATTGGTTTTAACCACCCGCCCGACCCGAACCCGCCCGATGCTCACCCCTAGTTGATCCCCCTTGATGCTTTGCACTCGCCATGGTGTTGGGAATTTGATCATTTGATGATAAGTTGACGGAATTGCCCCCATTTGATGCAACCAAGGAGTTCCCAAGATCATGTTGTATGCTGGTAGGCTCTCGACTACGTCGAACTTGACCTGCATATTTAAACCATGGGCATATACGGGTAACGATATATTACCTAGGGTTCTGCTTGGCTCGCCATTGAATCCGACCAAGCTTGACCTGGATCCTGTTATATCTTCCTCCTTGGCTCCCAGTTCTTTCAACATTTTCATGGTGGTAATATTTGCGGTGCTTCCGTTGTCTACGAGGACTCGTTTGACTTCGCAGTTTGCCACTCTGAGAGAGATTACCAACGTATCGTGATGAGATTGTGCCGGATCAGAAATATCCGTTTCATCAAATGTGATTGACGCATTCCTCCATTCCTCTTGACGTCTTCCGATCCTGTAGACCTGCAACGACTTGTCTCGGGTGTAATCCCGGGCGTGTCTCTTTGATGCAGAATACGTTAGCCCACATAAATCAGATCCACCATTAATAAAGTTGATTACCTTACACGGTGCAGAAGGTGAAGGCGGCCGAGACTCATTTGGTGACGCTTTATCATTCCGTCCTAACAGTGATTTGGTGCGTTTAGACATGATCTCCGTCAGATAACCGTTTTTCAGCAAATAGGCCACCGCCTTTCTCAACGCGACGCAATCACAGCGCTTATTCGGGTCGCGACGGCCTGCTGGTTTGTCAGTCTTTCGAGGCCATCTGACCTTCTCTCCCACCTTCTCCAGAGAATGAATGAGGCCCAGAGTAGCAACATTAAAGCAGTAGTCAGTGATGACAGGGGGTAGGTCTGGATCGTCAAGCCAGTTTGCTATCGACGATACTGGCCTATCTTCAGTTCTGACGTAGGGTTTTCCAGTTCTGTAATCATGCTTTCTGGATGTGCCCGATTTGCGCTGCCCTCCGTCATATGCATCTTGCCGATGTCGCGTTTGCTGGTCTTCCTCAAGCCTGATGAAGGCTAGAGTTTTAGCCTGGACGTCCTCAAAGGTCCTGCACGGGTACTTTGTTAATTCCCGGTACAACTCTGAATCGTCGGCTAAGCCTCTCCGAAATGCCTCAATTGCTATCGGAATGTCGCATCGTGGAATGGAAACTTTTTCCTTGTTAAAACGGTGTAAGTAGTCTCATAGCGATTCGCCTCGTCGCTGCATGACTCTATAAAGATCGCTGGTCTGCTTCTCAAGTACTCGACTGCTCGCGAATTGATGATTGAATAAGTCGACCAGTTCTGCAAATGACCTGATGCCCTCGTTAGGTAGGTTGACAAACCATTTGAGTGCTGGGCCTGACAGCGTTGCCCCGAAGCCACGACACATGCATGCTTCCCTTTGGTCTGGTCGGAGCGACACGGCAAGCATTCGCTGTTTGTACTGGGCGACGTGTTCTACCGGATCGGACGTGCCGTCGAACATCTTCATGGACGGAGCGGCAAACTTGCGGGGTACTTCGACATCTGTGATCTGCCTGCTGAAGGGCGAATCCTCATAACACGTCTGTGAGGCTCGATCTAGTGGAAGTGGTACTCTGGGTAGTCCGTTGATTTTGTCCTGCATCTGCCGGAGTTGTTCCATAATCATCGATATCGGGTTCACTAGGCCTGGCTGAGTTAACTCTGGCGTTGAAAACTTCAGTCCTGCCATTTGGGACTCTTCGTGACGAGTTGGTGACGGAATGACTATGATCTCTGGATGCCGCTCTCCGCCACTCTGTCCTGTTGAAGTGGTCGGTCCATGCTGTCGTTGGGCTTGAAACTCGTCAAAAATACTCCGTCTCCTGCTTTGCATGATGCCGGACGGACCGGGGTCACCACGAGTTCTGCTTCCGTAGTGAGGGAAGTATGGCTCCGTTAGGGCTGTTGCGCCTGTCGTCATTGGTAGACTTTGAGTGGCAGTTTGCAAACCTGTCCTTCTTGCTTCGGGACGTAATGATTCCGGGAAGAAGCAAGTCAGAATGCTGGGGATGGGGGTCGTTTCAGGGACGAGCGGTGTGTATGGTATCACTTGAGAGATGACGGTGGGTTGTGATTCCCCGGCCGGTGAGAGGCCCAATGTGAGGGAGATGGGCTCGGAAGTGACAATGGGTGCATCCGTCACCACCGGAGTAGATTCCAAATCAAGCCTAGTGACCACGGGCATAAGATCGTTTCTTCGGTTACTCCTGGAGTTGGATGCGATTGAAACTGCTGACTGAACTTGGGACCGGAGCAGATCGTTTTCTCGCTGGAGATGTGCCATCCTTTCCGCCAATTCTCGACGAAATTCCGCTCGAACTGCCTCCATTTGAGTGTGGATCTCCTTTAACAAGGGGTTGTTTTCGGCCATGATTGATGATCTTTCTCTTGCACGATGCCCCACGGTGGGCGCCAAATTGTTTAAGCAGAAAATAATTATTCTAATAACAATCTAATTGTGAGATAGGGAATCGTACAAGATAATATTCAAAGAATGTATGATCAACGGATGAATCAATATTAATGAATCTTCGAATGAAAAACAAGAATGAGTCTATTCAGTTAGCCAATCAATCATGCCTCCTCTCCTCTATCGCTAGTCTATTTAAAATAAAAGTTTAATCCTATCCCCCACGTGGGTGAACTGCCCGGCGAAATGGTAGCATTTCCTACTAAAGCGGGAGTCGTTCCTCCATTTTCTCCTCAACCTCCTAGGCCTCCTTATCCATTCCGTCACCTTATTTGAATAAGCCGGACTCTGTAAAACTCTTATGACTACGTGGGCCGATCCGCTTGACAAATCCAGGCCCAACAATGGGTCGATCCGCTTGACCAATCTAGGCCCAACATAAGTCACGGTGACTCAGTCGACTCAATGATAGTAGATCATGTAATCGTGCGCATCAGAGGTCCAGTTCAACACGCATGAGCTGTAACTTCCACACGACGGCTGCAGGTTTCGATCTTTGTTCATTCTTTTAACTTTCTCATCATTCAACCAAATAGCTACCCATGCGGGTACCCTCTTATACCAATCTTAAAGGGATTGACAGTACTCCCTTCGTCCCATTCTAAGTTTCATATCTTCTTTTTTGGGACATCCCAAATATAAGTTTTTCATTTCTATTTTCGGAAACAATTGACACTCTTAAATGACAATTTAATTATCAAATATAAAAATAATACAACTATAACATCACAGTTATCATCAATGAACTTAGTATATTATATATGGAGTATTTATCAAAATACACTCGAATTATCTTATTTCAGTGTCATCTAATATAAATAAGAAAGAATTCCCTAAATAGGAGTAAAAAAAATTTGAAATTCCAAAATAGGAGTATCATGTTTTTTATTCCTTGAATATGAGTAAATTTCTGCCAAGTTTGGCATTACTAGGCTTTAAAACATGACATTTTTTCCAAACTTGGCAGATTACTACTATTCAGGGAATAAAAAACATGATACTCTTATTTTTGAATTTCATAACGTTTTTGCTCCATTTTAGAGCATTTTCTATATAAATAACTGTGCCGTTATGTAATGAAAACCTTTGAACGGGACAAAAGTACTACGTATTGAATGCGCAAAATAGAACCATGACTTTATTCTCAAAAAAAAGAACCATGACTTTGTCGTGTCATCCGGTAGAAGTAAAACTAATAGCCAACGTATTTTATTGACATATTGACTTGTCAGGAATGCTACCTCTGTCCTCCTAATATTGGAATGAAAGAGAGTGTTGTGTTTTTTAAAATTAGTAGAATTATGCGGATGATAATGAGTTGATAAAATGAGAATAAAGTAGGGATAAGGGTCATATATGGCATCAAACTTACAAAAAAATGTCAAATAAGGTTTTATATAAGATGATCTGTCCGGTCGACGCCATTTGGGAAGGTTCCCGATGGAATTTTTTGATGACTTTTTTTGAGAATCTTACTCATTAAGTCTAGTTTAGTCATATCAAATTTGAACTAAAAATTCAATCGGGAAGGCATTCAAATGAATTCTTGAAGATAATTGCGCTTTTAACTCCGCAATTATTTTTTCAAGAATTCATTTGAATGCCTTCTCGATTGAATTTTTAGTTCAAATTTGATATGAGTAAACTAGACTTAATGAATAAGATACTCAAACAATTTCACCGAAAAATTTAATCGGGAACCACCCCAAATGGCGTCGGACGTACAGAGCATCCTATATATATATGATCTTATTTGACATTTTTTTGTAAGTTCGAGGTTCTATCTGACCCTTATCCCAATAAAGTAAGAACGATATAGAACCACACAAATATTACCAAATATGATATGAGACAATAATAGAGAAATAAAAAAAAGGACAATTATAAGGGGACGAAGGGAGTATCGGGTAGCAGTAAAAGTGTCTGTTCGCCTAGTAACAACAAATCGACATCTTGATTTTCAATATGTCATCTTGATTGCAGGTGGATCAACTTGAACAGAGGAATTATATTGAAAAATGTCATCTCTATTGTCTTATGTAGGAAAAACGAGGTCTCGATTGTAGTAGGTTAATTGTCTTTAAGGGTATGTTAAACACCCTTGTTAAACAGAAGCATATCAGTGGTAAAATGGGAACAAAACATAAATAAAACATGTTGGCTAATGGTTATTCTTTATCCTATATATGGCGATTTGATTATAAATTAGATAGGTTACTTTGAGCCCATTGGTGACGCTGTTTTTTAATTT